TGACGATGGGGCAAATAAGTAGCACAATTTGACTTGGTTAACCCAAAAAGCCGGCTAAATGTTCGGGGTATGTGGCGGTAGAATCCGCAAATGTCAGGGGATACACAAAAGCAGTTCCTCGATGAAGGAAGTGGATTAGCCGAAACTATCCACTGGAGGTATATATTCCACTTAAATTAATGAGGGCTGCATGTAGTTTCCAAAATGAATGATTTAAGTGGCATTTAATTTTATTATATCATTATCATTATATCATTTTATATATCATATCATTTTAATATATCTTGTCTTCCTCTTCAACTGGACAACCTTCTTAGAATATTTAACATGCCCTCTATATTGAAGTATTTCTCAGTGAAATTTAGACACTTATTTGTCCTGTGGCATTTACTTCATAACAATGAAAATTACCTTGCCGATGACGACAGAGATAATGGTTATGTGGTTGAGGATCTGGCTGAGGATGGTGGTTCCGCGGATTGGGATGGGCACCATCACCTCTTCCCAGTTGTTTGCAGGTGATCAAATGGGCAATCTCTTCCCTCTGAGTCCCTCTATATCTTTTCCTTTCGAGCTGTTTGCCAGTCAACAGGGCTTTACACTGCCGTCCCCCGACTGCCACGCCCCCTTTTGCGCCCCTGTTGACTGTGTCAATATTGACGCAGACCGTATCTCTTTATGACATATTTTTTGGCTACTGTCAGCACAGCGCCCTGGCATTTCTGGGCTCTGTTGACATCCTCTCGTGGTCTCTGCATTTGGGTTTTATTCCCCGGCTCTTTGAGTTGATATATATATTAGCGTACTTTCGTATGATTGTACGACTTATTTTCTGGGGCCAGCACACAAAAGAAATAACCCAAAATCCCCTGTAGTCTGAACTTTGTTTTTTGGCTCTGCTTTGATGTCTCTCTGTAGAATTTCTGGGTTACTGGGTAATGCAGTTGGTTTTTGTCCGGGAGGTGAGTTATGAGCCCAAAGATGTTAACGACGTGGGAGAATCCCATAGATTAATGAGAGACCAGGGGCCCAAATCGATCGCATTGGCATTATAGACTCGTAGCTGCAGACCGCCCACAAATCTGGTTAGAAATGCGCTTTACAAGGGGTACATCGATTTTATATAACTATAAATACATAATATGAACTGTATATTGAGTTTATGGAACAACACTAAACCAAAACTTAATAAGTCCATCGATCAATTTAATTGAAATCTAAAACGTTCTTATAAATATATATTTTTGTAATCATTAATTTGTATATTATTACAGTCACAGAGAAAAATGATTCGTATTGTTAAAATATTTAATAGATTTATTCGGAAAATAGAGCATCCAATTTTCGTTATTTCCCTTTTTAGCTTGGGATTTCCCGTATTTGTTTTGTGTGGCAGCCGATGACTGGCACGCAAACTGAATCGGAAAAGCGCACCGATCTGGGGTCATAAATTAGTCGAATCGCCCAGTTTTCAAACGGATCGCCTAGGACAGCGATGGGCGGGTTGGGGGATCTGTTTTGATGGGGTGCAAAGTCCGCAGACAGTTCTTGGAAGACGGCGACAGTTCCATCACATCGGACCCACATATCAGGCCGGGCGACAAGTGAAGTGTCAGCCATTGACAGGTTGTCGCCCCCCGAAGAAAACCTCTATAAACTCCAATTTAAGTGGCCATAAGGCAGGCAGATCACGTGAATGGTCTCTTAGGTGTCGCCCTGACACATTAGAAGAGTTGGAGGATTTTAAATGACTCACTGCACAAAGGATCCTAAGTACGTGAAGGTATTCGATTACCAATTGATTGAGGAAGGGGAAAAGGAAAAGACCTGACCTCAACCTGATCGACAGGCGGATTGGATTCGCTGTTTCCGCAGTGGCGATCGATTTGCCAAACAAATTGCACCAGCTATAGGTATACCTACCAGCTAAATGTGCGAATCGGGCAGAGAATAACCCACCGCAGAGTGACAGCTTGGAAACCCTAGAAGTGTACACGGAATTCATGGGCAATTCCTCACGATCTCTTAAGTTGGAGGTCTCGTATCGCATTTCAATGACGCGAACACATTCCGCGCACTTTGCAAGGTTTCAAAGCGTATAGATTTCTATTCCTGCACAGAGAGAAAAAAGTTCCCAAGTTAATAAATATAAGAACTATCTACAGGGTGGAGATTGATAAGACCCTTAGTTTGTTAGAGCTTATTATCACCCTAGGTTCTTAAAGACTGTTTGCATATGTACTACAATACTCATAAATATTTTTCAAATCGAATAAGGTTGCACCTTTAAATTACATCGTATACCACTTCTTATATCTATTGGAATGTGTTGCTAAAAAAAATTAAAGAAAGTAATTTAATATCAAGATATAATATCTTAAATCAAACCATTTGTTTTTTATACAGCCCACTTAAATGTCCCTTTGATTCAAGTTTGTTATCTGTCAGGAAAAGTTAACACTAAGTAGTCTGGAAAGACAGTTTCCTTTCCTTAAAGTGATGTTAATTTTAGGTATAAGACAGGAAAGTCTTGTCATAGCATTGATAAATGCAAAACATTTATTTTCTGAGTGTTTTCCACTCAATTCTCCACTTAATGCAATCCATCTGGACTTGGCATTGTTCCAGTGGCACGCTCTTAGTTTTGATTTCTGCTGCTATTTTTTTGTTTTCCTCTGTGGTCAAGCTGCCTAAACGGGCGCCCTGTGTGAAATTCAATACGATTTTCGGGCTAAAACTCAATTAATTTGGAGTAGGGACCGCGCTTTGACATAATTGAGGCAGCGGGGGCGGAAACATTTCCGCTTTGGTGCCGACAAAGCTGCAGCCACGTTCCAATCTTGTCAATAAATCTCAATATCAAAATATGCTAAATGACCACCCGCATGAGGAATATGTGCCCATAGTTGCAGCATGGGCAAACAGCATATAGAGAAATGCAAATAACTGCACGAACTATCTGTGAGATACGCGCATAAATTTACAAACTATGGTATGGATAAAATGGGAACCGATAGGATGGTATAGCGTATAAGTAGTGCGCTATAATGCGGAGTGGGGGGTTCCAGCGCGTTCGAGTTCCAGTTTGAGTTTGAGTTCGGGTTCGGTCTTTTTCATTAAATGCCGCTCTGAGGCGAACAATGAACCGTGTTGACAGGTCTCCGTTCCGAAGTCTTTGTGTATGATTGATTTAACCTGAATGGACTGACAGGTACGACGACAGGCGAACCGAACCGAAAGATATGGAAATCCACTGGAGATACTTGCGCTTATGCTAACGATACATATATGGGGGTATATTTTATGTCGATCGTCGAATGCGGAATATAGCTGGAGGATAAAAATGCATATTCAGGAATCCAGAGCTCTGTGACAGTACGCGCAAGTAGTCCAACCAATCAATCATGGATTGAATTGTACAACTTCTAATGGGCCCGCAAAGAACAAGCCGTTCTCGAACTCATTACAGATGGCTGTATAATTATCCACGAGTCTGCGGTTGGCTGACCACCTCAGAAATGCAGAAACGCGGGGAAAAAACGAAGGCTGGAATTCGTTTTCAGACCCAAGACAACCGCATCGAAATTGATTGACAGCTTAATGATTTAATGAGCAGCAAGATAAACGACGGTGGAGTCGGAAAACCGCAGCGAAATGAATTACTTATTTTCGTTTGAATTTGAATTTCCCCCATTGTATCTTTCCTTCTTTATCTTTTGTTGCTGCTGCAGTTGCAATGCGGCGGTCCATGAAAGATACTTATCTCACTCTTTACCCATCCCTCGCTCTCTTTCTTTCCCTGTACAGCCATCTCTTTCCACCTTGGGAAGTATTTCTTGCCGTGTCATACGACGATTGACGATGACGAAGCCCGATGACGATGACGATGACGACCACGCATATTGTGTCAACTTTGGAGAAGTATCTTGGTCCCCCTCCCCCAAAACTTGGGATATCGAATTGATAAACTGAAAACGTTAGAATAGCTGGGGGTTTCGGGGGCTTGAGGTGGGTTACTTGGTATGCATTCAAGTCTGCTGGGTTACACTTCTCTATGCGAAAGGCATACATTGACCAGCTATAAAATGTTCGCTTTAAATGTCCGATTTAATGAACAGTTAAACCTTAGTAAATGTCAATCGATTGGATTACCAGTTAAGCTTATAAAAAAGTATTTAACAGAGTGCTCTTTAAGATAAACTTAAAAAGTGTTATATATATTTTTGTAATGTTTCTCATTTGTACATCACTATATATCTTACAATATCACAGCATAATACCAATATTTTTTCTTGGCTGTTCCACAGCGACCTCATGTGATTTAACTACTGTTTAATTTTCCATTAAACAAGTTTACACATAATTAAATTCGCCTCGCCATTTAAATACGCATCTTCCAGCAGAGCGTAACAATTGCATTGAAAGCTTTTCATTTCTCTTCCATTTTCATTGTTAATTTTTATGTCATTTGCGTGAGACCTCAGAGTTTCCCCATCCCCTCCCCAGTCTTTACCCATCGAAATCCCTGACCAAGGGCCACTTGTCGCTGGAGGAAAAGCGAAGAGAAGAAGCCCACACGACCCTCACACACTCACGCACGTCGGAATATAATTTATGTATCGGCGGAATAATGCTTTACGATCTTGGCATGTCATTTGGGCTCGGGCGCTACCTGGGATCCAAACTTTGTGTGGGAAGGCTCGAATGGAAAGAGATTTCAGCCTGCACCGAATCTGAATTTATTTGGGAAACGTATGTAAATAGCCATTACTTACAGTATTAAATATAATATAGTAGTAGTAATATTTTAATATAACCAGCCATAACCTGTAAATAAATTCGATTTATATAAGATTATATATAAAATTTGAAATACTTTTTTTTTTTTTTCTGAAAAAGGTTTATACTAAGAAGGTGCAATTGAAAATTGCAAAACGTTTATGTGGCTATGTGGATCTTAATTCCCGCATTTTTAATTTAGTTTGCTTTCGAATGTCATTGCTGTCAGTTGTTTGTGTCTGAATTGCTCAAAATTAGGAGTGACACAATAAACACAACTATTTCTCGACAGGGCACAGACGACGACGAACTCGGGACAAAAATGCAAAGTGCATCTTTCTAGGAGTCGCGATGCTATTAAAAATTCTACGTAAATATGGCACACTGAACCACTTGTTTGGCAACCACCATCCATCACATGGCACCCATCCCCATTCCCATCCCCGCAATCCGTGCGGAACCCTACGGAAATCGGGATGTGGGGACTTTCCCGGGGATCCTCAGTCGTTCCGCCGCGAACTTCACGACTGGGATCGCCAGAGTGCGGCGCACGATCAGCGGAGAAAGACCATTCCCAAGCTGGTCTACCTGCACAATCCCTGGAAGTACCTGGTGACCAAGTTCAATCTGTGGAAGCTCAAGTGGCTCTGGGATCGGGACTTCAGCGAACCGGACTTTTTGGAGGGCGCCAAGCAAGCGGCGATCGTGATGACGGACATTATCCGGCAGCAGAGTGCGGAGAGGATCAGCGAGTACACCACGCCGGTGGGATTCCAGCAGATCACCAGGGATATGTTGCTCTCGAGGAACGATACCCGTCTCCAGTTGGTCAGGTTCGAGAGGGAACACCTGCGCCGAGCGATTCCCATGAAGGTGGCCACGCGCCAGAATTTCGGCAGGAAGTACGCCTTTATAGACATGCTCTTTGTGGGTCTGCGGAACACCAAGGACTTCGACACGGCCACCGAGGTGGTGGAGGTCAGCGAGATCATTCGCCGGATGGACAACGAACTCAAGACCCCGCCGGAGGTAGTGGCAGTACCCCATCGCATAGTCTTCGCCGAAATCTTCATTCGTTTTCGGAGGGATTACACAGCTGATGCGAGAAGAGCTCACAATTCTCCAGCCCACAATTTTCCCTTCAACTCGCGGTTCAATGCTCCACCAACTCCCCCGCCAGTGGCCAGCGATAGGCCCCTCCAAACACCTTTCATACAATCCGCAATAGATCCCATGAGATCCTCCCAGAATCCGAGTACAGCCACAGCGGCTCTTCCGGTGACGGGAAGAATCGTGCCCCGCATGGATGATGTGGGCTGGTCGGTGTCCTTCTACAAGATCCTGACCTTCGACGTCCTCAACTACGATCCGCAGAACCGAAGACACCAGCACCATCAGTCCCACGACAAGCCTTAGTGTTATAGTGTAATCAGTGATTAGTATTCCTCTGGAAATTCGACCTTTTAGTGCAGTGGATATAGTAATGACCGAACAGTTTTATAACGCAAATTTAACAGCTAACAATAAATATATGCATCTTATAAGTTTTTTTGATTTTATACTGAGTTGTTAAATACTGAATTTATTTTAAGTATTACTCAATCGCGGAGAAGAAAATCAAACATTTCTATACCATTTATATAATATTCACATGAATACTGTATTTATTTTAGGTAGTTTTAAAGCAAGATACAAGAATTATTAAACCAATTCCCATACCGTTTATAATCAAATTCATCGAATGACTTGTTCCCATAACTAATGCCCCCATTTAAATCCATTTTCGCGTGAATCTCTCAAAACTCACTGAAAACCCACAAGTTCACACCTTTTTTCCTTCGGGCCACACACAAAAATATGTGTACAAAACGATGTTGTAATGAGGCACATTACACGATTTGATCTTGTCAGCTGATGTTGTGATGTTATTTTTGTGGTTATTGTTGTTTCGGCTCTAATTGGTTTTCCAACATGAGCTTTTGGGCTCCGAGTTTTTTAGCTCCGGAGGGCTTGGCCTTGGCGTGACCCAATCAATTTGAATATTCCAAATGATTGAAGGAAATAACATAAATAAATTGACAAATGTATGTACAACAAGCTCATGTCATTTGACGTTTTTACATCGTGCCTAACACATTTTTGCATAATTCGAACATGGTAAATGGTTTTTGGAGTCTAAATCGAAATTCAATTAAAAGGGTATGGGGCTTAGGAATGGATTGACAAATTATGCTGGTTAGTTTTGGGGGAAAGTTAACAGCGGAACAACGAAATTCCATATCGTTAATGGGCATAACATGGCACTTACTAGTTTATGAATCTATAAATAGTTTAAAACACTTTTGTAATTCTTTTAGACATGAATTTATGAATTAAAGACCGCGAAATATTTTTTGTATAATCGTATGAAAATAGAACTACCATTAATCGTTGTACCTAAAATCTGTTATAAAGGTGTTTAGAAGTCTGTGATAATTTTTGAATGGCAGAATGTTGACCAGTACTTGCTGATTAAAATCGTTCAATTAAGTTCAACTTAATTTAGAAAAGTCCTCAATCAATATGTGGTTTTGACTGCAGTTTTAAGGAATGATCTGATCAAAGTGATGCTGCTCGCCTTTCATCGCTCCCAATGCCAATTAGTTACCCACGGGAAAAGCTATTTGCTCGGGTTAAATAAGACCCAGGACCCAGGAAGCGAGTCCCAAGTCCCAGGTCCCCAGCCCAATAATCCCGACAGCCTGCAGTGGCCAAGGAGCGTGAAACAGGACGAATGCGAATAACAGGGCCGTCAAAAGGGAAAGAAATAATTTAAATAGGAAAACACAAACAGCTGTTGCAGTTCTGAGCCAAAGATGGAAATGTGCCACTCCAATCCCCCAGGAGGAGGACATAAATATATACAGGGAGCCACTGAGGCAGTAACACTGTACAAGCAAAAGGGATAATCTCATTATAATGAAACGCAAGTTATGCACGCGCAGCCGGCTGCCGCTAGATGGCGCCAGTCAGGGCGTCACTCAAGTGTCGCCAGCGTTCTCGGCTTAGGCGTCAAAAAGATTTAAAAAACGCAGAAAAAAGAAAGCCAAAATACAGGAAAAGAAAAACAAACTGATGAGAAAGGAAACCGAAGACACAGCTGGTTGTCTGAGTCCCGACTCCACGACTCGGCTTACACAGCTCGAATTGGCCTGGCTTGGGCTGACATGCAAAAGCGGCCATCGGAAAAAATGAAAAGCTAAAAAAGAAAAGAAAAGAACAGGGAAAATTATAAAAATTTATGTGCTCCCGTCGTTTCTGGCCATTCAATCTCTGCGGCAGCCAGCTTCTGTCAGCCTGTCCGCCGGATTTGTTGTCTATTCCAAGGATGTCAGCCTGGCAAATGCCTCAAGTCCGGTCATAAATAACAAATGGGGTGGAGTCCTCTTCTTGAGGAAGGCGAAGTTGGCATGCCCTACCCGGAAACTAGAAATTTTTAACAGCCAAAGAAGAGGAAATATTGTTTTCCTATCAAAAACATCACATACTTTTAGACACTTTTGTTAAACATTTGGAAAACCGAAAAACTAAACCGCCAAATGAAAGATTAGAACAGATTGATTTCAAAGGTTTCCAAGGAAAAAAGGGAGTTCAAATAATATTTAAAAAATATCAAATACCCAAAGCTTTTTTAACCAAGGCAACTTAAAATTCGGTAATTTGTAAAACAATCCCAAAAAAGTGGAAAAAATTAATTACACAATTTGAAAGCGGAGAAGATTCGCAGAAAGTCAGTAAACCGTATTAATTTCAAACTCATTTGCAAATATTTACCGAGCCCAACAATTCGCAGACGTCCTAAACCAAAAACCCTTTCGGCGGAACCCAAAACCGGATCGGGATCCCCAGATCCGCCAGAGAAAAGATAAGTGTAACAGGTGTACTCAGAACCCAACCCGCGCAATGGGCTCAAAACTTTCCATCGTTTTTCCTGGCCCTTTTCCGTTTTTCTTTTAATTTTCCAAAGATTAATTACAAGTCTGGCGTAATGAGAGGATTTCCGGTGCAGGATTTGCTACGTCCTCCTTTTTTTTCCACCACCTAACTCCCCAACGTTCGGGCTCCAACAGAAGCTCATATTTCTTGTGTTTAATAAAAATTGAATGAAATTTATGAAATATTCGCGCGATGTGCATAGAAATGCGTTCTTTTAGAGGGGGCAGTGGGCAGTGGGGGAACCCACCCACCTGCAGTCTGAATCCCAGCCCCGACTCGTTGATCTTCATTAGCGGAGCCGCCGGTAAATGTCTTTATAGACATTCCCGGAGTCGCCGTGGCAAAGCTTTAAATTTATGGCAACGCATTTGCGGCGCGCGCTCTCTTGCGGCCATAATATGAGGAAAATAAAAAAAACGCAAGAAAGTCTGGCTAATAAAGCGTCGGCGTTGGGCTTCCTCTATAGGACCCATAGCGCCCCCCTATAACATCACCCCCTCTCACCCCAGCTCTCTTTATTAGTTCATTGCTTGGCCGAGGCCCCGAACCACTCCCCTGCCCATATCCATTTACACTTGAATATTTATCGCCGCTCTTGGCCAAGTTAAAACGAGAGGTGCGAGACCTCCCTGGGCGCAAGACCCAGACCAGACCCAATATAGAGTTGTCACATAATTCTCGACGCTAACAAGCTAAATGCGCTATTTAGCACAACATTTGTAGAATGCCGCCAGATCGGACGGAATGGAATGGAGTGGTCACCTCGGGTCCATTGCATAACAGCTCAGGATGGGTGGGCGGTGTGGAATTCGCTGCCGTTCCAAGATTACAGGGCTTCTATAACGGACGAAGAGATAGGCACTCCAAGCTTAAAGACTCCAGAGTTTAATAGATATTTATGCAAATTGAGTTGAAGCAATATTTACGAATTAAACTTCTTAACAATCATTGATATTCCTAAATAGACATTTTCTTATAACATATAATATATGTATGTATAATGGTTAATACATTGGACACCGAATTTATTATAGTTTCCCCTATTTTTTGTTGAAATCAGGACAATTAACTTATATTATAATACTACACTAATCAAAGAATTGCCTTTTCTTAATCGAAATGTAACTCTAAAAATATATACAGAGAACTAAATTATTTTAGGTTCACCAAATTTTTGATTACGCTGAAATCTGTGTAAAAAGCAAATTTAAATAATTAAATAATTCTTCTATAACTAAAGAATCTAAAAATGTTGTTTGATAAACGTATCATTTTATTGAGTCATTATTTACAATGGAATCCCCTTGATAACATTTATTTTCAGATTGGAAACGCCAGCTGCACTTCCTATAAGAATTAAACCGAGTCAGCTGTCTACTAGGAAATATAATCCAAAGACAAGGACAGCTATTTGATCTGTTTGCAGCAATCTTCTGTCTCGTTAGTATGAGCAGGCAAGCAGTACATTTTTCACGCCCTTTTAAATTCCACGGAAACGTAAAATTCCTGGAAGCAACCAAAAATAAACAATAATAAATGGAGCCCTTTTAGCATGACAATCGCGTTGAATGCCCTCGGCACTGATTTAAACGAACTCAAACCGCACATGTTTTAAAGTTTAAAGAACTGGGCCAGAGAGTTCGATTTCCTTGTTAAATTGCCACTTGGCGCCAAATATTTATTACTCAGGCCGACTGGTTCGCTGTCAGCGTTTAAGAGAATCTGCATAAATCGAAAATATTTCAGCAAAAGTTGTGTCTTTAATTTAAAACACATTTCGCATGCCCCTTGGGGAGCGGACTTAAAGCACTGGGAGAAAATTATGGACTAATACATATATGTAACTATGTATCTTATAAATGTTTTATATATATTTTTCAAATGGTATCATACCCATCTAATATAATAATACATTGTAAATATTCCTAATCAAAATATTGTACTATATTTAGAAGATTACATTTAAGGGGGCTACAAATATTTTTTAAATTGTCTTCAAAAACTAAAGATGATATACATATTGTTAATATTTGATATTTTTACAACTATGTATGTTTTTTATTCTGAATATTATTTTTTCTTTAAAAAATAAAGTTGTAATATTTTAAAATATTTCTCGCTGTGCTTTGGATGCCATAAGGGAAAACATTAAAAATAACGAAAAGCTAAACTGAAACATAAATAAATCTGAAATTTTAAGCACTCAAAATCCGGCACAACACACACACACACACATCCCAGCTGCAAGCACACACACATGCACAAAGCTGTTTGCGACTTGAAAACTTTTGTTTTTGAAAGTTCTTTTGGCGACGTTGCTTTCCCTTTTCCCTTCCGTTCGCCTGTTAAACATGCAATTTCTTTTGGTTTTCGCAACGTTCGATTGTTGCGGTGAGAAAGGGGCGGAGGGTTCGGAGGTTCCGCAGGGGGCGTGGCAGGAGGAGTCTGGGGCAGCAGCAGCTGCAATAACAACAACGAACAGCGAAAACAGCGGCGACAAGGACAAAAGCCAACAATGGATTATTAGTGGCACTTAAGCAAACACGCGGGCAAAA